AGGCACTTGTTACTAAAAGCGATGCACTTGTTTCTAATAGCTTCTTGATACTACTAGTAAGGCACTTGTCACTACTAGCGATGCACTTGTTCCTAGTAGCATGCTTGTTTTTAAGTTTCCCTGAAAATCTAGGAACGAAATGAATAGTGCCGCTTCTTCAAGGAAGCATGAGCTATTCTGCCTCCATACCTAGAAGCTTATATATAGACGCCTACTTCGTAGGAGGGCGGGTCCACGGGCGGTCGCAAAACGGCGCAGGGGTCGAGCCTTGGTGCACTTCTACGTGGGAATCATCAATCTTGCGATGGCCGACTTCTTGAATTTCACCTTGTGGACGAGACTCGAAATTCGCGAAGTCTGAGGCGATGGCCTCCAACCTATTCTAATAACAGGTCTAATCACAGGTCTTTCAATTTCACCTTTTCTGAGGGGAATTGCGCATGGGCCGCAACTGGAAGCTAGGGCTAACTAGCAGTTTTTTCACTAGTAGCTGCCAAGAAGCGAAGAAGCTAGATGCTGGGAAGTAGATGCATTGATTTGATGAAGATTTCGATCTTTGCAAACTGAGGATCATCCACCTTGCCGTAGGAGGCAGCCTTGTGGTTTGCGCCATCATCATGCTTTTGAACCACCACACGTATCACTGCCAACGCCATAGCCATGTCAAGAGGACATACGCTGGAACTGCAAAGGTGACAGAAGCCTTGGATGTCTTCAAAGAGGAGGCCTTGGAGGTGCGGCGGTGTGGCCGAAGCACCGCTTTCAAAGGGATTGGCAAAAGGATTCAAAGCGTCATTGCTCCTAGTAGCAAGGCCAGGAGCCCCTAGTAGCGCCCTTGCTCCTAGTAGTAAGGCCAGGAGCCCCTAGTAGCGTCCTCTTGCTCCATATTCTTGATAACATCGCGTCATGTGATTGATTCGAAGCACGACTTTAGGTTCGCACCTACATTGCGAAGAACCATTTCTCAGTGCGGATTGTCAGCTTCCTCATCGCCATCGCCCTGGTTGCAACATCGGTTTTGGGGATGATCAACGTGGGGACTCCCAGTTCTTGTTCCGAAAGGATTCTTTGGACTAGGAACAAGGACGCTACTAGGAGCAAAGGGCATCGCTACTAGGAACAAGGATACTACTAGGGGCTCCTGGCCATACTACTAGGAACAAGAAGCTAGTAGAAACAAGAAACTACTAGAAACAAGTGCCTTACTACTAGGAACAAGAAGCTAGTAGAAACAAGAAGCTACTAGAAACAAGTGCCTTACTAGTAGTAACAAGTGCCTTACTACTAGGAACAAGAAGCTAGTAGAAACAAGAAGCTACTAGAAACAAGTGCCTTACTACTAGGAACAAGAAGCTAGTAGAAACAAGAAGCTACTAGTAACAAGTGCATCGCTACTAGGAACAAAGGACGCTACTAGGGGCTCCTGGCCATACTACTAGGAACAAGAAGCTAGTAGAAACAAGTGCCTTACTACTAGGGACAAGAAGCTAGTAGAAACAAGAAGCTACTAGGAACAAGTGCATCGCTACTAGGAACAAAGGACGCTACTAGGGGCTCCTGGCCATACTACTAGGAACAAGAAGCTACTAGAAACAAGTGCCTTACTACTAGGAACAAGAAGCTAGTAGAAACAAGAAGCTACTAGTAACAAGTGCATCGCTACTAGGAACAAAGGACGCTACTAGGGGCTCCTGGCCATACTACTAGGAACAAGAAGCTAGTAGAAACAAGTGCCTTACTACTAGGAACAAGAAGCTCGTAGAAACAAGAAGCTACTAGGAACAAGTGCATCGCTACTAGGAACAAAGGACGCTACTAGGGGCTCCTGGCCATACTACTAGGAACAAGAAGCTCCTAGAAACAAGTGCCTTACTACTAGGAACAAGAAGCTAGTAGAAACAAGAAGCTACTAGTAACAAGTGCATCGCTACTAGGAACAAAGGACGCTACTAGGGGCTCCTGGCCATACTACTAGGAACAAGAAGCTAGTAGAAACAAGAAGCTACTAGAAACAAGTGCCTTACTACTAGGAACAAGACACTACTAGTAACAAGTGCATCGCTACTAGGAACAAAGGACGCTACTAGGGGCTCCTGGCCATACTACTAGGAACAAGAAGCTAGTAGAAACAGTAACTAGTAGGCAATTCCTGCCCGGGTCCCGGGGAACCGCTTCAGAACAGTTGCGGACCATGTTTAAAGTCAACTCGGCATACGAAATTGACAAAATCGCAGGGACTTCCCTTTCCCTTTACAAAGCACATTGCATTTAGAGTGTCCGCGCTGGATCTTTTGAGCGTAGGGGAGGCTTTTTGATTAGGTACTAGGGATTTACGTGAGGCTACTAGTATCAAGGACGCAGTAGAAGCCCAGGTTCCTAGATTTTGCAGGAAAGCCAGCCAACAAAAGCACATGCGCTGGACTCTCCACTTAGCCGAAACTTGTGCTGTAGTAACTTGGAAGATTCTAGGAATCATCACAGGTTGAAATCCACTTGTACTGTACCAACTGATTTGTATTTGCCTTGTGCGTCCAAGTTCAATACCAATGCCCAGCATACTCTCAGTATGTTGTATTTTTGTACACATGCGCCGTCATGCCCCGTCCTGCGCGTTTTCTTCCTCGTGGTGTGCCAAGCTAAGGTCTTTGGCTTGCTGTTCAGTCCCTTTCACTATGTGATCGGTGTTTTCGATCTTTTCTTTGCCGTGGTCATCGCTCTGGTGGATGGCGAAGCGAGCTGGTTTGAGAAATGCTGCAATTGCCGTGTGAAGCTTTTCCAAGCATTTCCATGCCTCGCTGAGCTGCCTGGACGCTCTTTGCTGCACTTCTACGTCTCTTGATCGCACGAAACAGGTCGGTCAACGTCGGTCAACATGTTTTGAAGAGCCTGAGGTGGGAAGCATCAACATGGTGATGCTTCCTGGAATGCCTTTGGCACCAAACTCAGCATACTTGCTTTGCAGATTTGAGACACACAATATCAGTTTCAATTGCATGTAGACATGATTCATGTTGCACGATGTACATAGAGTTTGTGTGCAGAATGCCAAACTAGCCGTGAAGTGCAGTGATGGATTGTGTTTTTCCAGGACATTGTCTACGTGGCATTAGGAGGAACGCTTTGCTTGTGCTCCATGCTGATGCTATGCCATCACAACTACTGTTTGAAAGTTCCTGACCTCCCATCTTTGAGTCACTCTTGATGATCCAAGCTTGGTCAATCAGAGACTTCCATGATATATTGTTTTGAAAGCAAGATATATATATACCCATCATATATTGTTTTGAAAGCTTTTCTTTGTGTCTTGGACTTTTGCTGTACCAAAGCCGTAGTGTGAATTCAGTCAACACCTTGCTCGCCTGCAATTGCGTGAAACCGCAGCTTAAAGCAGCTTGCAAGCGCCAGTTGGTGTGCTAGGTTCACCATGACGTGTACAGAGTTGTGCCAGCCATTCTCTTGTTTGTCCAACTCGAAGGACAATCAATGATGTCACAGCTGATGCCTGACTGCTTGTACAATAGAGTTCAATGAACCATATGTGGAAAATGTTAGCGCTCTGGAATGTCACATAGTTTTAAGATCTCATTTACAGGTTGTTTCTTACAGAGACGCTTCTTCTGCATCCTTGTCACTTCTAGCTTACACTCCTGTTTGCCCATACCTAACCCCTCCAGCTGAGTGAACTGTACTTTGTCCCTTCTCAAGTTGAGGCAGAAAAGCAGACGCCGAAACAGGACGGCGCAGGAGAGAAGAGAGAAGTGTGGTTTGTTTGGGCAGATCGATTTGCATCGATCGAATGGGAGAGTCACAGTACTTGAGCATCACCTCTTTGCCGCTAGTAGGAGCAAAGGGCATCGCTATGAAATGCTACGAACGGGGCTCCTGGCTATACTACTAGGAACAAGAAGCAATTAGAAACAAGAAGCTACTAGTAACAAGTGCATCGCTACTAGGAACAAAGGACGCTTTAGGGGCTCCTGGCCTTGCTACTAGGAGCACTGTTCGCTACTAGGAGCAAAGGGCATCGCTAATAGGAGCAAGGACGCTAGTAGGTTTGGAGGCCATCGCTATTAGGTTGGACAAGAACTCTTTGTACTCCTGAAGCTTTAAGATCAGATAGATGTGACTGTTAGGCTGAAGAAGGTGTTTCTTCCTTGTTCAGTGTTGTCAGGAATATGTTTGGTTTCCATCCGAAAAGGGTTTTCATTCAAATGTTTTCCATTCTCTGAGCAGTACTTGTCTTTGCTTGATGTCAGTCTTGCATTCGAATGTCAGCTGTGTGCGGAGAGACAGTCCAGCCGATGGCAGGTCGGTGCATGTTCAGTGTCACTTGAATTAAGTTTAAAGTAAATTACAAGCTTCTTGTTACTACTAGTAAGGCACTTGTTCCTAGAAGCGTGGCACCTGTTACTACTTGAATTTGAATCAAAACCTGTGGTGTTTTGTTGGTTTAGAAGAAGTGGCCAGTGACTTGTCCTTGCGAGGGGCAAGGCAGTGGCTGGCTGCTCGCAAATTGTGCACAAGACCCTGGCCAATTCTTCTAACGGTGGCCACTTGACATTGATAGGCAGGTGATGGCAGGTGTCGTGCAAAAGCTGTGACAAAGCATACGGCTTGTCGCTCGACGCAACCGGTTGCGAGAGCAAATCGTGTCCTATGTGAGACACATGAGAGAAAAAAGTTGCTGAAAGCTTCGACCAGAGCTTGGTGGCTCTTTCTGCGTATTTAAGCCATAATATGCAGGTGGTAACAAGAAGCTAGTAGAAACAAGTGCATCGCTTCTAGTAACAAGTGCCTTACTAGTAGTAACAAGAACGCTAGTAGAAACAAGTGCATCAATGGAAGACGGTGCACACGGTGACGAGTTTCTCTTCTACAGTGTGCAGCTCACCTGTTCTTGCACTGTTTGGGTGCTGACCTCGACCTGGAACGCCCGATGAAGCCGGGTTCGTCAAGAAAAGAGTTGGCATCGCGGCACCTGCTGGCAGCGCGGTATAGGGAATGATTTCAATATAAGTTCCATGGGAAGACTGCGCTTGACCCAGTGCAGATTCCAATCAAACCTGGCCAAAAAAAAAGGAACTGCTTGGCGCAGGGAGTGTCAGGAGTCCTCTCTTGCCATCAAAATCCAGCCTCATCCGTGTTGTCGGGCCTGAAAGGACTCCTGAAAGAAGCTCGAGAAGGAGCGCAAAGAAGGTCTGGCTTTGAAGCAACAAGAAGTTGTTCGTCGTTTTCAGTTGCCTTTTCTGCTCATGTATTTTGTGTGATGCGATGCTCCTTCTCTCCAGCTCTTACGGCTAGCCTGAAAGGATATGACCGAGTCATTGAAACATGCTGGCTAACCAGCATGTTTTTTTTCCCCAAATTTCTTTGACATATTTGCTTTTGGACTTCCAAGGAGGTTGGACAATGGAGATCTACGTATAAGCATTGAGCATTGTGTACAGGTAGAAGATATAGTTCAGTCGCATCATGCCTCACGAATTGATCATCTGCCCCCTTCCAGCTTGTTACTAGTAGCTTCTTGTTACTAGTAGTAAGGCCAGGAGCTACTAGTAGTAGCATCCTTGCTCCTAGTAGCGATGCCCTTTGTTACTCCCCCTTCCAGCTTGCTCCGTGAGGTCGTTGTCAGCGCCAAGTCGAATGGACTTTCAAGGGATATGCAGAGGGGTTCTTCAAGGCTCCTCCCGGCCAGGCGGGGGTGCTTCCTTGAAGAACCCTGAGAAAGCGCGCCCCGGCCTGCTAGCTGCTAGCTCTTGACTCAAAGAATCTGAATCACTCTTATCACTTTCACTTGCAGTGCGTCACCACGCAGCACCTTGGCTTAGTCACTCACTACTAAGTGAAATGTCACCTTTAGAAACTGTCATGTAAAGACGACTTACGGTATTAGCTTCTGACTTCTTCTTGCTAGCCGCTTGCCAGCCCACCTGATGGCCTACCCCTTAACAATACCAATAACATAATATGAGAATACCATAATACCAATTCGGCTAAGCTCAGCTTTGCGATGTGACCTTTGCGTCAGGTCGGGTCTATCGCAGCTCCGCGCTTCGAGAAAGGCCGCAGGCCGGGAGACAGGGGAGTGGTGAGGAGTGGTGAAGAGTGGTGAGCAGTGGGCACTAGTAGCTTGTTCCTAGCAATGGCCTCCACCTAGTAGCTTCTTGCTACTAGTAGTGCAACAGCAATAGTTGGCTGCGTTCTGGTAGGATTGAATCCTGTCTAATCATGCATGAGGTCTGCTCGAGATTGAAGCGGAAGCACAGAAGTCTGCTACGACAGCCGAATCGAAATGATTCCAATTTGCTATTAGTAACAAGAAGCTATTAGTAACAAGTGCCTCGCTACTAGTAACAAGTGCCTTACTAGTAGTAACAAGAAGCTAGTAGT